TATCACAAGAAAAGAAAACTATAGGTTTGCTCCACTCCTAGGTACTTCCCCAAGAGAATACATACATCTACACAAAGACCTGTTTATAAAAACATTAATAATAATATCCAAAATATGGAAACAATCCAAATATTCATCAACTTGTGAATGGAAGAACAAAATGTGGCATATCTGTAACACTATTTAGCAGTAAAAATGAATGAAGTACTGATACATGACACAACATAGGTGAACCTCAAAAACATTCTGCTAAGTGAAATAAGCCAGATTAACAATCACATATTATATGATTCCACATATGTGACATGTCTAGAAAAGGCAAATCTAGAGAAATGGAAAATAAATTAGTGGTTGTCTGGGGTAGTGGTGGGAATGAGAATGACATAAGGATCATTGTGGGTGGGTGATAAAAATGTTCTCAAATTAGATTGTGGTTCTAGTTGCACAACTCTGCAAATTTACAAAAAAATAATTGAATTGTAAATTTAAATGGGTAAATTTTATATTATATAAATTATCAAAATAAAAGATCTTAGAAAAACATTTTAACTTATCAATTTTTAGTTTATTACTTTCTTGATATCTCAGCTAAATGACAAATTTCTTGAAAGACACAAATTGCCAAAACTCACATAAAGAGAAACAGAAAATCTGACTAGCCTTATATCTATTTTGAAAATTGTATTTATCACTTAAAACCTACTCACAAAGAAAATTCTGGGCCTGGATGGCTCTACTGGTAAATTCTCTAGGAAAAATAATACCAACTTTATGTATTTTTTTTTTTTTCTGAAAACAGAGGTGGTGAGAACACTTTTCAACTCATGTTATTATCATGTCAATATCTTTATATCACACCTGACAAAGACATCATAGGAAAAGAAAATTAAAGATTAATAATCTTTTCAAAAGCAAATAGACTTTTTACTTAAGATTGCTTTGGCTATCCGAGGTTTTTTCTGGTTCCATACAAAGATTGTTTTTCTAGATCTTTAAAGAATGATGATGGTACTTTGATGGGGATTCAGTCTTCCGGTCTTCAAGCAGTAGTATAAAGCAATATTAATTAAATCAGCCTGGTATTGGTACAAGAACAGAAGCATTGATCTGTGGAATAGGACTGAGATTCCAGAGATGAAACCATCTGCATATTGTAACCTAATCTTTGATAAAGCAGACAAAAATATACATTGGGGAAAAGAATCTCTTTTCAATAAATTGTGCTGGGAAAACTGGATAGCTACATGCAGAAGAATGATTCATTCACAAAAATCCACTCAAGATGGATAACAGACTTAAACCTAAGATGTGAAATCTTAAGAATCCTAGAAGATGTTGGGAAAACCCTTTCAGACATCGACCTAGGCAAAGAATTCTTGAAGAAGATCCCCAAAGCAATCACTGTAGAAATAAAAATAAACAAATGGGATCTGATCAAATTAAAAAGCTTCTGCACAGCCAAGGAAATTATCATTAGAGCAAATAGACAACCAACAGAATGGGAGAAAATATTTGCTCTTTACACTTCTGATAAATGTCTGATAACAAGAATCTATCTAGAACTCAAAAGAATTAACAAGAAAAAAATCAAACAACCCCATCAAGAAATGGGCAATGGAAGTGAACAGAAACTTTTCCAAAGAAAACAGAATAATGGCCAGCAAACATATAAAAAAGTGCTCAACATCTCTAATCATTAGGAGAAATGCAAATCAAAACCACAATGAGATATCTACCTAACCCCAGTGAGAATGGCTTTTTATCAAAAATTCCAAAAAGAGTAGATGCTGGTATGGATGCAGAGAGAAAGGAACACTTATACACTGTTGGTGGGACTACAAACTAGTGCAACCTCTATGGAAAATAGAATGGAAATTCCTCAAAGAACTAAAAGTAGAACTACCATTTGATCCAACTATCTCACTACTGGGTATTTACCCAAAGGAAAAAAAGTCATTTTATCAAAAAGACACTTGCACTTGAATGTTTATTGCAGCACAATTCACAACTGCAAAGATGTGGAATCAACCCAAGTGCCCACTAATTCCTGCGTAGATTAATAAAATGTGGTATATGTATACCATGGAGTACTACTCAACCATAAAAAATGGTGAACTACTTCCAGTATTATCCTGGATGGAGCTGCAGTCCATTCTTTGAAGTGAGGTATCACAAGAATGGAAAAACAAACACCACATGTACTCATCATGAAATTGGTACTGATTGATGGACACTGATGGGCACATATGGAAGTAACATTCATTGGGGGTTGGGCAAGTGAGATGGGGGAGGGGGATGGGTAAAAAAATTTACACCTAATGGGTGCGGTGTACTCTGTCTGGGGGATGGGCACACTTGTATTATAGCTTTGACTTGAGTGGTGCAAAGGCAATTTATGTAACCAAAGCATTTGTATCTCTATATTTGTATCTCTAATATTCTTAAATTAAAAAAAATTTTTTTCTTCTTATTTTAGTTACTAAGTAGTTTTTTTAAAATCATGAATGGATGATGAATTTTATTAGATGCCTTTGTTTTCTGCATTCTTGACAATCATATTGCTTTTCTACTTTATTCTGTTAATGTGATGAATTATACTGATTCATTTAAAATGTTAAACAAACCTTGCATTCCTAGTTTAAACCAAACTTGGTTATCTTTTTTAATTGTCAGTTATTTATATATTGATTGGGATTTTTCATATGTGTTCATAAATAATATGAACTTATAATTTTTCCTTTTTGTAATGGCCTTTTTCAGTTTTTGCATCGTTATCTTGGCCTCATAAAATGAGATGAGCATGATTTCATCTTTCCTAATTCTCAGGAAAATTTTATATAATACTTTCATGATTTATTTCTTTAAAACTTGGTGGAATTTACTATAGTAGCCTCATGAACTGGGATTTTTTTGGCAGCTGAAGCTCTCTATGAGACAGCTTTCTGATACAAGTGTAGGTTCTTCAAAGGCTCTATAGTGACCATCATCTCCCACAGCTCCCTTACATGGAAAATGTGTTTTCCAGCTGACCTATTCTAACAATTGAATCATGTAATATATCTTCATAGCTTCTTAATTCTGATGTCCCCTAGCCTTTCAGGTCAATCTCTTTAGAAGGGAACCCCTGTAAATGGCTTGAGCTCAGCCATCTTCCATGGTAATTACTTGGGCTAGAGATTAATCATACATTCTTACATATCAAATAATAGGACTGTTTCATAGTCCCTTCGCCCTCTTCCTTATTCTATCAGCTATTACTTCCCCCTTTCCTACCAAAGTATATTCTAGTCAAGAAGCAAGACATTCAACATCTATATTTCCATATATTTTTCTATATTTCCATATATTTTTGCAGAAAACTCCAATAACACAAAACTAAGACTTTTTTTCATGTACTTCTCTTTACTGATGGCTTCAAGGAGTTCTCTTAGGACTCACTAGACTTAGCTTAGGAAGTACAGAATATAGACAAATACACAAGGAAATGTATTTTTTGATAAAAGTTGATTCTAAGTTAGTAGAGATGAAGTATTAAGGAAATGGTATTGGCACATTTTTAGTCATCAGGAAAAAATATAGTTTAATCCTTATTTCATACTTTATACTTAAATAAGTTTCAGATAGATTAAAACTTTCAATCTGTAAAATAAATAATCAGTATATTAGATAAAACATAATTTTTTATTATCTTAATGTTAGGAATACCTTTCTAAGGATGACACAAAATCCAGAGCCATAAAAGAAGAGAATAAAAAATAGAATTATTTTAAAAGCTATGCATGTGAAAGAAGAAATCATCCTAAACAAAGTCATAAAGCAAACAAAAGCAGGAGAAATATTCACAAATTACATCATAGAGATAACTAACTTCCCTAACATATAAACAATTTTCACAAATCTCTAAGATAAAGGCCAACTCTGCAGACAAATGGACAAAGAATAGAAACAGAAAATGTCACAATACAGGAAAAGGTATTCAATTTCACTTAAGATACAAGAAAAGTCTACTAATATTATAATAAGTACTACTTTTCACTTAAATCAATGGTGATCAAAAGTCTGGTTATATGTTGTTGTTATAAAGGTTGTGGGAAACCAGGCATTCTCAACATTGCTGGTGGGAGTATAGTTTGACACAACCTCTATGGAAGGTTACAACCTAGGAATCAGGATTAAATGGAATTAAATTAGACTTTAAAGAGAATAAAATCCAACTTTCAAAGATCTTATATTTGATTGAGTTATGTTGTTCATAAGTTATATTTTATTGAGTTATGTTATAGTCTGTATATAGTCTCTTAACCTAGACTAGCGAAAATACTTTCTGGAGGAAGATAACATCATCTAGAACCTCAAATTATAATGTTCATTTCTCAATTTTTAAAAATAACCCCAAACTAGAATATGTATACACAATATATCGTGATGCTCAAACCAAGAAAAGTAATAGTTTGGATACCAAATATGGAAGTATCATAAACACATGTAAAGACTACATTCAACATGCCCAAGGAAATAAAGACAAAAATGATAATTTAGAAAGAGAACAGGAAGCTTTAAAATAATCAAGTAGAAGGTCTAGAACTGAAAAATAACTGACATTAAACTCCATGTGTATATCTATCATTAGATTAGACACAGCTGAAGAGGGAATTAATGAACTCTAAAAAACAAGTCAAAGGAAAGTATCCAAAATAACATATAAGGAGAAAAGAACAGAAAATATAAGAGCACACAAACAAAAAGGTATAAGTGCAGTTACATCCTAATAATTTCTTAATAACATCAAAAGTGAGAACACTATCACAAGTTTGACATCAAAAAAGAACAAATAACCACAGTTTAAATTTTTATTTTTCTTATGTTCAATCTAATAAAAATCCAGCTAAGGGCTTCTTTCCATTTTCAGGACTTCACCTAAGTATTCTAAAAGAAACATCTAAAAACATCAAACAGATAAGTTAAATAATACAATTCAGAAGGAAAGTTTAATTACTTACATTCCATATGCTGAGCTTACAGCAAGACTAGTAATTTGTTGGGGAGGTTCACCATCTACCCACACCAGCTGAATAACAAGTTCTGCTTGATATCCTGGAGGCATCCGCACTGGTCGTGTCTTAACACTAGAAGAAAGAGAAAAAACAATTCTATTACATACAGCTTAACTAAGCATGTTCAAACTTGAGAATTTATATAGATTTATCCTATAGAAATATACACCACCAGGTATTGGGAGGGGCAGCTCTCAGGTGGACAGTATCTTCTAGCTTCCTCAAAATATACTGAACCACTTACGATTGCTTAGTTATTTCTTTAAGTACCTTTTCAGTTATTAAAATCCACATTAACTGGCCTTCATCACTTCTTTTATTTTTTTGGAGAATAGTATTTTAAATTATTTTTATTATGTAATTATTTTTATTATGTAATATTCATTATATATATGGAAGTTATAAAGCATAATAAAGAGAATGACCATTAACCTACTACTCAGCATAAGGTTTAACATATCCAACACCTGAATGTCTGATATTTTCCTCTAAACCTGCCCCACCTGTAGCCTTCTCTCTTCTAATTGATAGCAACTTTTAGCTTTCCAGTTATTCAGTTAAAAAACCTTAAAGTAATTCTTCCTCTCTCATACTTCTCTCACATTTCCTAACCATCCAGTTATCAAATACCATCAATGCTACGTTTAAAATATATACAGAATCTGACTACTGTTTACTCCTCTACTACTATCACTCTATTAACAGCTGCCAAATAAAAATACAGGACTCCCATTTAAATTTCTAATAAACAGTAAATACATTTTTTAGTATAAATGTATAATGAAATATTTGGCATATACTGCTACTAAAAAAGTGTTCATTGTTTATCTAAAAATCAAATTTAAGTGGGTATCCTGTTCCTTATTTGCTAAATCTGGCAGCCCTTAACTTCATCTTTAATTAGTTTACTCTAGTAGCTTCCTAACTGGTCTCCCAGCTTCTATTCTTTCTTTCTATCCCCAAATCCATTTTCAACAACCACTAAATTAGTCTATTTAAAATTTAAGGCCGGCCAGAGCAATACATGTAACCTTAACATTTGTACCCCCACGATATGCTGAAATAAAAAAAAAAGAAAAGAGAAAAAAAAAAGTTGTAATCAGAAAACTGAATTTGTTATAATTTTAGAATAGAATTTTATATATTTTTTACCAGATCTTGTATAAAAATCACAGTATGTCCTCCAAATTTAGTGAACATAATTATTGGTTGATGTACACTAAGAAAAGAATAAAACTGTATGGAAGTATGTGTAAACTAAAAAAAGATAAATACATTTAAGGCCAGGAGCGGTGGCTTATGCCTGTAATCCTAGCACTCTGGGAGGCTGAGGCGGGTGGATTACTTAAGGTCAGGAGTTTGAAATCAGCCTGAGCAAGAGTGAGACCCCACCTCTACTAAAAATAGAAAGAAATTAGCCGGACAACTAAAAATATATAGAAAAAATTAGCTGGGCATGGTGGCGCATGCCTGTAGTCCCAGCTACTTGGGAAGCTGAGGCAGGAGGATCGCTTGAGCCCAGGAGTTTGAGGTTGCTGTGAGCTAGGCTGATGCTACGGCAATCTAGCCCAGGCAACAGAGTAAGACTCTGTCTCAAAAAAAATAAAATTTAAGTCTGATCATGTCACTTCTCTATCTTATGATATATTCCCTATTTCTCATTTGGAATAAAAAGGCAAGGTCCTTACAATGGGCCACAATTGATATTATCTATCTGACTTCATCTCCTATCACCTCCCCACCCACTCTAGATACACTGACTTTGTTACTGCCCCTCAAACATGCCAAGAACTTTAAGTTCTTTGCTATAACTGTTCTTTTTGCCTGGAACACTCTTCCACCAGATATTCTTTGGCTAACTCTCTCACCTACTTCAAGTTTTTATTTCAATCTCACCCTCTTAATGAGGCCCATGATGACCACCATTTTGGTCAGTAGGAACACAAAGGCAAAAAAAAAATAATTCATATACTTGCACAAGTGTGTGTATGCTGATAAGAATCATAATATTGCTAAAATTAAGATTTGGCTAGTTGAAATGTTTATTTATTAACTAATGCGTATCGGAGACTAAATTCAGCAAAGGAAAGCGACTTCGGGATGGATGCCTACATACAATTTAGCAAAGTACAAATAGTATACAACTTAAGAATCTTTCATAATGTAATGTAAATTACAAAATAATATACTTAAATCAGGTTTTCCATTTGGTCCTTAGGCCATAACCACATAATATAGGATTATACTGAGCTTTTCCTTTGGTTGTTTTAGTTATCCTTAAGAGTGCCTTCATTACTTTTCAAGTCAACATTAAATGTGTCTATATATATTATATTTCATAATTTTTACTGCTTATTTTATCTCTAGTACCAGATCATTGTTGGTTTCAGTGTTTTTTCTCTTTCATCACTATCTTTGAAACCCCTATCTTAATTTTTTAAAAATTTTATAGAAAAATAAATGTATGTCATTAGAAGCTTCACACTGTAATGAGGCTTCTTAATAAATCAATCTACAAAATGCTTTCTTAAACCTTGTTGAAATTTTTGTTCTTTTTCTGGTTTTTATTTTAATAGAATTCAATAAAGTAAAGCAAAGATAATAAAAGTAAGATTAAATATGTAAAATTATAATATTATGAAAGTTTTCCATTAGCTAAAATTTTATGATGATGTTTCCTCTTTGTAGATTTTCCTCACAGTAATACCTTTTTCCCCTTGTATTTCACAGGAAAAGTTTTGGCAGGAAAACCAATGAGTACAAAACTATGCTATGGCAACTACTAATTGTATGAATTTTGTTCCTGAAATCTTATCTCTAAATTTTCCATAAGAGTGTTCAAAGAAATGAGAAAACTAGCTGTCTAAGTTTCCTCAAGTAGCAGATGCAGATATTTTCATATGTGGCTCTGAGAAATACCCTGCTTAAGCTAATTCTCCAACCAGCTAACACTAGAAACATTTGGTTTGATGGTATACAAGCAGTAAGTAGTAATTTATAACCTATTATTAAAAAGCATAAAGACAATTTAAAGTGAATATCACTATGGACTTTTATTAACTTTAGGTTTCATTTAATATAATGCTAAACTTTGTTTAGATAAATCAAGACTACATATTTTATTAACAAATAGCAGTAGTTATAAGAAAGAAAGAAATATTATTCAATACACTACCAACCATGAGAGAAATTCTTTTTGCTAACATAAGGCTCTTGCAGTGGACAGTAAACTTGGTTTTCTTTTTGATTCCAAGAAGATCACAGAAATTCCATAAACATACTTTTTCAATTTCAAACAAATGGCCAAGTTTTCACCCTGTCAAACTTCCAATTCTATCAAAGCCATGTTTTCTTTAGGGTTCTTCTGGGAAGGAAATATATGAGCAAATAAACAAAGGATGAAAATATTGTGCCCTCTTCATGGATGTTCAGAGAAAAGACCCCCTACTCAATTACAGATCACTTGACAACTTAATAAGCAAGAAGCTTGATTTTGTCATGGTTTCAAATACTTATATGATTAATATATAAAACTGTTTTAAAATTTGGTAGCAACTCTTACTTGAGACATGGGATACTGTCCTTTGTTACTCCTTCACTACCCACAGTGTTAGTGCTTCCGGAGAGACTACTTGAAGAAGGAAGCTGGGATGAGAGATCTGGAAACGGAGGACTTGTTTCTGGTTCAGGGGTAATAATATCTTCAACATCATACTGAAGTCGTACCTCTAATGACTTAAAAAAAAAAATCAAGTTTTAATTTAATCTAAGTCATAATAATAAATAATCACATTAAAATTCTAATAACTTTTTAGAAATTATTCACAATTTTTTCAGATTAATAAATTCAATTTCAATTTATACTAAAGTAGAGAAGTACCCCAAATTGAATTAAGTCCGTAATTATATGAATATTCAATAGCAGTCAACAAAAATATAAAATTTTAAAAATTCTTTGGAATTATAAGAAGAATTCTACCACTGGGAATAAAGTTTTTATATAATAAATATTTTAAGGTAATTTAAAAATTATATGATATAAGATAAAGAAGAAACTGGTTATGGTTATTCTAATGAAAGAAATTAAATTGGATGTATGTGGTTATGTGTCTATGTGGGGAGTGTATGTATAGAATGTGTTTGTGTGTATGAAAAAATCATTATTTGTATAATGCTTTTTAGTTTAAAATTTTTTCATTGCATTTTGCCTTTGCATTAATCTAGTAGAAATTTTCCAAAAAAAAAATTACACAATTTTGGTGGGTTAATTACCTTAGCCCTTATTTAATTTCATCAGCTTGATTAAAATTACTTAATAAAAACATATGATAATTTATATAGGAATAAAAAGTTGTTCCCCAAAGCCCTAAACTAAAAATGTTTTAAAACTAAGTACTTCATGACTATATTAAATACATTAAGTAAAACTGATTTTATAAAAAATGTTTTCTTTATAATGAAAAAATGAGCATTTTTGAGATTGAAAACAATCGCTTACAAAAATGTCATTATGGGGTGATGAATATAGCAATATTACCAAATTATTGTCATAATTGCTTTAAAACTACAAAAAAACTCTAAACTCTAACAGTGACAATAAAATGATCAATTATTGAGTGCTTACTATAGAGTTAGATATTCATTATAATAATGTTTTTAATCATCACAAGAATGCTATGAAATTGGTATTAATATTTCCAGTTTATTTTTATTTTCCAGTTTTCAATTTTGTTTTACACAGGAAATTATATGTGATGAAATTGTATCTTAGCCAGACTTGCTCAAAGTCACACAGGTATTCAATGGGAAAGCTAGAATTAAAATCTAGGTTTACCTGACTTCAAACCCCAGGCTTTTAACTAATACATTACAAAAGAGTGATATTAATCTTAGCTGTTGAGGTAAAAACACTTATACATAGGCCTGTAATAAATAATCTTATATTCTGGACATGGTAGGGAAGGAAAATTTTCTATAAGTACCTTAATAGATTTAATTTATCCCATAAGTGAACCATTATTTTGAATAATCAGAGTATTTCATTGATTTAAAAATTAAGTTTAGTTGCCCCATGATTATTTCTATCCTATAAAAAAAGTTGCTATATAGAAAATCATCAAAAATAACTTTATTATAAATAAATAATCTTTATGGTAAGTAGTTGACAAGAAAACAAAAATCAGGTAAACTTTAAAAATTAATAAAAGTATACAACAAAACCTGCATTAATTTGACTTATATACATAAATCAATAAATGTCTATATAAAACCTATACATTTTATAGGTATATATATGGGAATATAAAGATATATATTCCCCAATATTTACATATTTCAAACATCATATACACTATAAATATGTACAATTTTTGTCAATAAAAGTAAATAAATTTAAAAAATAATTCTAAAGTTCTAGTATTGGCAATTAGCAGACAAAATAAATTGACTCATTTTGGCCAGGAAGATGTAACTTGTATAACATCAAAAAGAAAAATGAGAAAAATATGACATGTTTAATTTGTAGCAAGATTAACTTAAAATAATATCTAAGTTCATTATGACATTGGGGGAAAAAACCCAAGTCTTGACAAAGAACTGTTTTTGTCATTTTAAGCCAAATCATTTTTTAATATATTAAGTAACAATAGTAATTAAAAATCCTATGAATTGTATTATTGGCCACATACTGCACACTTAATAGCTTAAAATCATACCAAGTAGTACCCTAAATCTATGTTAATTGTTTTCTTTTAATAACTTTAATTGTGATAGTTAAATTTTAAATAACTTACAACTATTTCTGTTGTAACTTCATGTCTGCTGAATTTATAAATTATGACATACGCAGAGACTCCTGATACACAGAATATTCTGCTTTCTGGACACCAATAAATCATCTGAATGGCAAATGGATCTTCATCTACAATCTCACATGTTTGTTTTCCTTCTCCAATCTTCTGTTTTTCAAACACTTTTGAAGTTTTTAGCTTATACAGCATCTGCAGAGTTACTATAAGATATTGAGACAAAGTTATCATCTAATATAAACTTAATTCTTAGATGTCATTAAAGCTTTTTCAATATATTTGTTAAACCACAAAAGCAAAACCAAGTTAAGAAAATTAATTATATTTTAATTAGTAAGCATTCAATGTTATGCTCTCATTTCAGTACAGTAGCCAGCGGGAGACTATAGAGAAAAATATATATACTATAAACCATGGAATATATAGGTGTTTCTCATGTGATCCTCAGAAAAGTCCCACAAAGTGAGTATTTTTATCATTACTTACTGATGAAAGCATTAGGGCTTAGAAAGTTAGGAAATACTGAAAATAATTTTTTCCTAGGAGAGACTTCTCAATCTTTTTTCAAAATTTCACCCTTTGATTGTTAGATGAGATGGTTATGCTATCCCCAAAGGGTTTATCTCTCTCAATGAATTTTTAGACACTTCTTCAGATGGGAAACATTCTAATTTACCAGTTAGTAATACTGGGAGTTCAATAATCTATATTTTAGAAGGGATATTTTCTGAGTGCTTATGTGTCAAGAAAGGGTCAAATGATCTCATAAATTTTGGGTTTATGAACTGTTTTCAAGAATATTTACTTAAAGCAATACTCTTCCATTTGAGATCATGATGATAATAATTCCTCTATAGAAAAGCTTTGATTCTACAAAAGATCCTTGAGAAAAGTTTCAACAATCAGGAGTCCCACCAAAAGTGCATAATCTGAATCTAATCATGAGAAACAGTAATCAAACCCAGACTGAAGGAAATTCTAACAAAATAACTTCCCTGAACTCTTTAAAAATATCAATGTCATGAAATAAAGACTCAGGAACTATTCCAGATTTGTTTTTTAAATTCAAAAGATATGATGACTAAATGCAACAAATAATTCTAGATTTTCTTTTGTTATAAAGGATGTTATTGGGAAAATTGGAGAAAGCTGAACAAGATCTGGGGATTAGATAATAGTGTTGTAGGACTGTTAATCTCCTGGTTTTGATAACTATACTTTGGTTATGTAAGAGAATGCCCTTGTTTGTAGGAAATGCACATTGAAATATGAAGGGGTATGTAGTGCTAGAGGAGCATGGTCTACAACTTTACTTTCAAATGGCTACAGAAAAGCTATACATATATATGTACATATATATATGCACGTGTGTGAGCGAATACATGGAAAGAAGAAAGAAAGAGTAAGAGGGAGAGGAGGGGGACGAAGAGAGGTGGAGGAGGGGAACAAAAGTAGATACATTGACATTTGGGGAATTTGGAAGAAAGGTATACAACATTTTATAGTTTCAGTCCTGTTTTTGCAATTATTTTATAAGCCTGAAGTTATATGAAACTAAAATAGTTTTTAAAATAGGTAAGGCTTGTACTGGGTGCTATAGAATGGCTTCTAAGGTCAGATGGGATATCTCTCTCATGATTATTATTGTTACATAACCATGGTGAAATGGTATTACAGACATAATTATGGCCCCAAATTAGCTGACTTTGAGTTAAGCAACAAAGATTATTCTTAATGAGCCTGACGTAATCAGGTGAATCTTTTAAAAGAGAGACTAGGGCCCTCTCTGAAGGTAAAGAGACACTCGCTCTTGCTGGTTTTGAAGCAGAAAGCTACCATGAGTTCTAAATGTGCAAGAAAATGAAGCCTGCCAATAACCACATGAGCTTGGAAGATAACCTTGAGCCTCAGATGAAACTGTAGCCTCAGCCAACACCCTGACTACAATTTTGTGAGACCTTGAGCAAAGGACCTAGCTAAAGTGTAATCAGATTCCTGATAAATAGAAATGCTGAGATAGTTAATGTGTGTTGTTTCAGGCTGTTAGATTTTGTCAATGTATTACTTAGCAATAGAAAACTAAAATACATAATAATATAAACTCGATTATTCAAATTCACCTCACTTCCTGTGTTAGTGTTTCATAAAATTAGCAAAGTGATATTTTTTCAGTGACATCCATTAAGTTGAAGATATGCCCTTATAATTGATTACAGTATAAATATCAAACATGCTGTAATTCATTGCAATATTCTGAATGTTATAAAATATTTTCTTTAAAATGAATTTCTTAAAATATTATGCATGCTTAAGGGTGGCATGTACCCTAATAATTAATGCAAAAGTGTCCTGTCATATTTTAAAAGCCAAGGAATGACTTTGAAGTGGTGGGGAAGGAGAAATGACACCACTATGCAATTGATTTTGTCCAGGAAAAAACTCTGATTTGCATGAAAAAATTCAACTCTTCTGAAAATTCTGTTGCCCTTTGGAGTTTCCCTTTAAGCACTTGCTCTCTACTGAGGTCAGGGATGGGCTTCAGAACACATAGCTTTTAATCTTTTCCTCCTGCTGATGGTTTGCTTGATTGCTGAGGGACTCTACCTTGTGGGCTATGAGTATTATCAGTATTTAACCTTTTTCCTCTGATATTCTGTTTATTACAGTCTTCCTTAAAAGCTCTTTATTTCTATAGCTTCAAATATTACTTTTATGCTGCTTCTTCAGGAGTTTCCACTCCTAACTATTCTCCTTACCTGCTGGATATTTTTAGTTGAATTTTCTGGTGTTATTACAAAATTCAAACTTCTAAAGCTCTCTTGTATTATTTCCAAAAGAGCTACCTACATCTTCCTGGTTACTCATCCTCAGAAACTTAGAGTCATTGCTAACTTGTTCTTCTCTTCCTATTCCTGACTGTCCAAATCTTAACTATCTTCTAAAACTCACATTAGATAGGACCCCATCAAAATATCCTTTCTGGATCTACCTAGTCCAAATAAGTCTCCTCCATTTCTTATAACAAATAGAATTTGGTGTACTACATGTAGAGTTATTATTATATGGTTTGCTCTGTAGTTATATGTGTACATTCCTTTATCTTTTCTAGTGACTGTAAGTTTTCTGAAGGATATATATGAGTATAATAAAGTCTTGGGCATCTTTGCATGGACTTCACTGTTGAACAGAATACCTTATTACTTAAGTTTCATAATTCTCAATAATTTAAAATTAATTTTTACATTCATCACATAATTTCTTTTGATCTTCATATGACTTAGTAGATGAGTGGGGAACAAAAGTGAAGACTAGAGGGTAAAAGCACTTGGCCAAGACTGCACAGGTAGGAGGTGAAGGAAATCCATGAACAGAGTTAATTCAACAAAGTTTGGTACTTTTTCCAACGCAACATGCCTCTTGTAGATATAATGGGTTGCCACCAAAGAGTGACTTAGTCTTGTTTGTTTTATATCGTAGAAGAAAAGTACAGTACAGATAACACTTTAAATTTATCTAACAATATAGGAAATGGATTTTGTAACATAGCCATATATATGCTAAAAATATATCTGAAATGTTAATTGCCCAAACTAAATATGGTGGATGGCAATAAGCAAATGTTAACCGAGTGTTTTCTGTTATACAGGGAGAAACTTGAAACTTACTTGCAGAAGCATCCCAAAATTTTATTGATCCATCTGCATGACTAGATAAGAAATAAGTTAGCATTAATTAAAGTATATTAAGTAAAAATCATAATCACTCCAAATGTATGAAAACATGACTGTTGTTAAAATTTTGATTCAAAACTGCCAAGCCATTTATAAGCTTAAAACAATGGTTTATTTTTTAAATACACTAAAATCTAAATATTATTAATAGAAAAAGAACAATTTCTTAGATTTTATGATAAGATTATATATATATAATAGAGAGCAATGAAAAATGGCCTGTGGAAAATGAATATTTTATGTAAAATTGTTTATACTCAATGAAAAAGATAACTGACAGAATTCTAATATTAATATAAGCATGAAATGATTATCACAGTAAAATTAAAGTTTCAAAACATAAAAGTAAATCCCTAAATCTATCTAGTTTTACCATTATTTGGTAATACATAATTTCATGTCAATTCTATAAGAACTCATCGAGAAAATAGAAGAGGCTAGAAGACCTTGCAACACATTTGATGAGGTCAGCATTATGTTGACAACAAAACCAGAAAAAATGACATACCTCTCATGAGAACAGGCATACAAAGTGTCAACAAAATATTAGCAAAGAAAACCAAGTAATATATAGAAAGGATAATACATCATGACTAAGTGAGGCTTGTGTTAGGAATGATAGCCAGTTAAACATTTAAAAAAATCAACTACCATATTGTAATCACCACACTGATTGTGGTGTTATATTGGTTTTCATTCATGGCTCCTATGGAGTATCATAACTCCCATAGTCTTTGTTATAATGTTGGAACACTTTAGCCCTCAGAAGCCAGCCTCAGAAGATAGAATCTCTCTCTGACCTTCTCCTGTCCTCTTTTCACCTGCCCAAGGCAGAACTCTAATCAGATTGTGGGTCAAAGGATCCTCATTCTAGACAGGATCCTGCCCTATACGCTGGAGGAAGGAATGCTACACAGAGAGGCCAGGAAGAATCTAAACAGACAGGCCTTGCTGGGTTTAGATCATGCACTTTTGTCCAATCACATTTCTACATGGTTGTCAATCATGCCTATGTAATGAAGCCTCCATAAAAACCCAAGAGAACTGGGCTTGGAGAGCTTCTGGATAGATAGCTGAGCACGTGGAGATTCCTGGAGGGTGGTGTGCTCAGGAATGGCATGGAAGCTCTGCACCCCTTCCCCATACCTCACCCTACGCATCTCTTCATCTGTGTCCTTTGTAATATCCATTATAATAAACTAGCAAATGCCAGTGTTTCCCTGAGTTCTGTGAGCCACTCCAGCAAATTAATCAAACCCAAAGAGGGAGGAGGTTATAGGAACCCCAACTTGAAGCCAGTCAGTCAGAAGTTCCAGAGGCTTAGAACTTCTGGGGTGTCTGGGGAGGGGAGGTCTCTTGGGAACTGAGCCCTCACCCTGTAAAATCTGACACTACTTTGGGGCAGATAGTGTCAGAATTGAATTAAAGGACACACAGTTGGTGCCTATTTCTTGATGTATGGGGAAAAACCCCACATTTGTCACAGAAGTCCTCTTCTGTGTTGATTGTGGAATGTAGAGGAAAGCATGGTTTGAGGAGTGATTTTCCCAAAGCGCTGACAGACTAGAAGGGAAAAACCACGTGGTTATCTCAATAGATACAGAAAAAATATTTTAAAAAATTTACCATCCATTCTGAAAAAAAACCAAAAAAACCTCTCAATAAACTAGCAACAGAAAAAACTTCTTTAACTTGATAAAGGGCACCTAGGAACAACTACACATATCACCTAACACTGTGGTCCCTAAACTCCGGGCTGCAGGTACATACTGTTCATGGCTAGTTAGGAACAGGGCTGTACAGCAGAAGGCAAGTGGCAGGTGAGTGAGCAAAGCTTCGTGTATATTTACAGTCACTGTCTCCCATCACCCCCAGATGGCACCATCTAGCTGCAGGAAAAGGAGCTCAGGGCTCCCACTGATTCTGTGTTATAATGAGTTTTATAATTATTTCATTATATATTACACTGTAATAATAATAGAAACAAAGTGCACAATAAATGCAATGCACTTGAATCATCCCTAAGTGATCCCCCCACTCCAATCTGTGGAAAAACCAGTCCCTGGTTTCATGGTTGAGGATCACTGGTAACATACATAATGGTTAAAGATGGAATGTTTCCTCCCTAACATCAGGAACAAAGCAAAATTTGCTCCCTCTTACCATTCTTATTCAACATTATATTGGAGATATTAACCACTGCAATAAAAAAGAAAAAGAAATAAAAGGCATACAGACTGAAAAGGAAGAAAAAAATTGTTTCCATTTGCAGATTATACAATTGGCTATGTAGAAAATCCCAATGATACTACAAAAAGAATACTGGAACTCATAAAAGAGTTTGGCAAGATTGTGACATACAATGTCAATGTGCAAAAATCAATTATATTTTTATTTAATGGAAATAAACATTTTGACATTGAAATTACAAAACAGTACCATTTACCATGGTACTCAAAAGAAATACTCAGATATAACTAATACAATTTGTGGTAGATCTGTATGCTGAAAATTACGTTGATTGAAAAAATAAAAGGCATTAATAAAAGGAGAGATATAATGTATTTTGGATAATTGTATGACTTACTAGATGTTGGTTTCCCCAAATTACATGTAGATTCAATGTAATCTCAAAATACAGCAAAATTATTTTTGTAGAATTAAACTGATTCTAAAATTTATATAGAAAGGTAGAGGGCCTAGAAAAGCCAAAGCAATTTTGAAAAATGAAAACAAAGTTGGAGAACTCAAACTACATAAGCCTCATTCTAAAACTACAGTAAATTTATTGTGCTACTGGTAAAATACAGATTCATATATCAATACAACATAGTAGAGTCCAGAAATAGACTCACATTTATATGGTCAACTGATTTTTTTTTTGAGAGTGAGGTAGTCATTAATTGAATGGCTGACTTTACTTTGTTAACAGCTTTATTGAGATATAATTTACATACTATAAAATTCAACCATTGTGAATGTACAGTTTGATAATTTTTAGTAAGTTTATATAGTTGTCACACCGATAATATCATTCAGTTCTAGAACATTTCCATCACCCCAAAAAGTTACCTCATGCCAATATGCAACCCTCTTTCACATCCCCAGTAGATCCCCACTGATCTACTTCCTGCCTGTATAGACTGATTTCTTTCTTAGAATTTTTATATAAGGGGAACCTACATAATAATTACTCTTTTGTGTCTGCATCTTTCACTTAGCATAACATTTTTGAGGATAATCCTTGTTGTCACATGTATCAGTAATTTGTTCCTTTTTATTGTTGAATAGTATTCCATTGTATGGATACACCCCATTTATTCATTCACCTGTTAACGAACATTTGGATTTTTTTTCAATTTTTGACTATATGAATGATTGTTTGTGTACTCTAATTATATATCTATAGATACTTTATAAATGGTACTGAAAAATCCTGAAGGATGTTGGCTTAAGGTTCTATATAACCTAACAACATTTAATTCTATTTTACTTTTTATCATGTAATATCTGCTATGGAAACATCAATTTAATATATAGGATATAATTGTATTGAAAGCACTCAACCAAAGATTACTATTAACTTGCATCTACAGCTATGTTCTTATTGATTCCATCTCTCCTGCCTTCTTTGTTATCAGAAGTAACCACTATCCTGAATTGTTTATCATCCTGTTGTTTTTAATATTATCACATTGTGTATGTATAAACATTATTTACTTTTGCTGCTTTTAAATACTTTATAATAATGGTTTCTCACATTTTTCCATATAAAATTATAAAATTCATCCATACTTTTGCTTGTAGCTGTAATTTCATTCATTTTCACTGCTGCATTTAATACATAATTGTCCCTTATGTGATTATACCACAACTTAGATCTTCTTTGGTAATTGGGCAATATGGTTGTGTCTTTTCCTTTCCTTTCCTTTCCTTTTGCTATTATAAATATTGCAGCCATGGAGAATCTTGTACATGTCTTTTATTATTTATGTATGTATAAGAGTAGAATCAGTAGGTCATAGGGTATGAAAATATTCAAACTGATAATTCCAAACTGTACCAAAATTTACAAATTTGTACTCTCATTTACAATATAGAAGAATTCTCATTGATTTAAATCCCTTCTAACACTTGTTACCAACAAATTTCTAAACTTTTTTGTCAGTATGTATTGAATATAACATGGTATCTCATTATGGTTTTAATTTGCATATCCCTAATTGTTAATTAGGACAAACAATACAACTTTCTCCTCTGTCAAAGGCCCCATTCAAGTCTTTTGTCCATTTTTCTTTTTTTTTTTTTTTAATTTCATCACATTATGGAGGTACAAATGTTAAGGTTACTTATATTGCCCATGTTCCCCCCTCCCCCTTGAGTCAGAGCTTCAAGCGTGACCATCCCCGAAACGTTGCACATCTCATTCACTGTGTTTGTATATGCCCATCCCCTCATCCCCCCTCCCACCTGCCTGACACCCAATAAATGTTATTCCTATATGTTCAATTAGGTGTTGATCTGTTAATACCAATTTGCTGGTGAGTACATGTGGTGCTTGTTTTTCCATTTTTGAGATACTTCACTTAGTAGAATGGGTTCCAGCTCTATCCAGGAAAATACAAGAGGTGCTAAATCACCATTGTTTCTTAAAGTGGAATAGTACACTCCATGGTATACATATACCACATTTTATTAATCCACTCATGAATTGATGGGCACTTGAGTTATTTCCACACTTTGCAATTGTGAATTGTGCTGCTATAAACATTCGAGTGCAGGTGTGTTTTTCATAAAGTGACTTTTGATCTTTTGAGTAAATGCCCAGTAGTGGAATTGCTCTATCAAATGGTAGATCTACTTGTATCGCTTTAAGGTATCTCCATATTGTTTTCCACAGAGGTTGAACTAGTTTGCAGTCCACCAGCAGTGTAGGAGTGTTCCTATCTCTCCGCATCCATGCCAACATTTATTG